ATACTTTAACATCATCAAGTATTTAAAAAGGTTGGTTGTTGCTGTAAAAATGTAACTTTTGATTTTAACATTTCATTTACAAGGAGGACACTGCTCTGGTATTATAACTTAATTTTTTATTTATTTTTGAATTAAATATTTTAGCCACTTTGTACCTTTTAAAAGAATTGTACTTCTACTTTATACCATGATAGACCATTTTTGATCTGAGAGCGGAAAAATTGCTCTGATGGGCCAGATTTGGCCTTAACTTAACTTTGACTCATGTCACTTAAAATAACCTCTGCAACCTTTTGCAAATATGACGTAAACACAAAAAGAAGAAGAAGAAAAAAAAAGCTGAAACATCATGCTCCATGAATTCAGGAAGAAATGACAAGCAAAATCAGTGGCATTTTTTTTTTTCTTGTTGAAAAGGGGTATAGAGCAATCTCTAAGACTTTTGAAACTCTATGTAAAGGACAGTTAGAGCCAAGATCCACAGATGGAGGAAACAGGGAATACTAAAAATTACCATGGATTGTTGGCCAACCAAAATGATATAAAGAAAACAATAATAAAAAAATCTGAAAGTTACAAAGCAACTAAAACACTGCAGACCTCTCTTATCTCTGTTTAGGTAAGAGTTCAGATTTCAACAAAATAACAGAGACTAGGTTAAAATGTGCCCAGGCAAAAAAAAAAAAAAACATAAAGACCCATCTTACACCAGGGAAAGTTTTACATGGATTGATCAGACAAAAATGTATACATCTTGGAAGTTGTATATAATATTTTAATTATGTCATCAAACTAACACAATACTATAGAACTGGTTATGGCTGTGCAGTGGTCAGGGCTGCTGACCATCAAACAACCAGTAGTTGCTTCAGAATCTGGATTGATTGCTGAGATAAATGTAACCATGTAATCTTCTTTTTACCAGAAAACCCTAATTAAAAGTAAAGCATCAAAGTAGGTTTGTGGGTTGCCGATCACGCTATAGCGTGAGCTGAAACCGTTGGTTTATTTTTTGGAATCCTTTTATGTTGCAGAATGAAAACAATTCCTTTATGAAGTATGGGCCAAGAAGCTTTGCTGTAATGTAAAACGAAGTTGTGACGACAGCTCTAACAAGATAAAACCCTTTATTGGTTTTAAGTAGCTATTATATATCCAGAGGTGGGTAGAATACCCACAAATGTTACTTGTGTACGAGTAGCACTAATTCTGTCAGGTTGTGTGGAGGTTTGAAGAGGACCCAGATGCAGAGACGGAAGATGAGGTTGTTTCTTGCAGATTTAATAAGGAGTGGTGGCAACAGAAGCATAAATCCAGAAATAACTAGTTAAAGAACACAGGAACAGAACAAATGAGAACACATAGGACAGAGAGGGATTGAAGGAATGAAGAGAATCCAGCAAACAGTGACACCAGAGGAGTATAAATGCCAAACAGAACAATGAATGGAGTCATTAACTGATTGGGAGCAGGTGTGGACAGAAGGATCTAGAAGGGAGCTAGGGCAATGGAGATTGACTCAAGGTGGCAACAGAGAGTAAACAAGAAAATAATTAGAATGACATGAAATGGAAATGAAACCAATACACTTTAGAACACAGAATGACATAAATCAAAGTGTAACTCAAAAAGAAAACTTAAACAGCGCCAAAAGCCCAGAAAGGGCAGAATCATGACAAATTAATAATTTTAACTCAAGAAAAAGTACAAAATTAGTAGGCTACAAAAGTACTGATAAACTGTTCTGCTTTCAAGCCATGATCAAAAATAAATGATTCAATATTTTACAAACTGATGTAAAATTCAACAAAAACATAGATTGATATGCACATTCTGGTGTTTTCAAAGAATAAGATAAACATAGAAATATAACATACAATTAAACAATAAAAACTATTAGGTGGAATAAACACTATTGAAAATAAATGTTTAGAGCTTTAAAATCAGAAAATCAATAGTTACTGCATGTGGAATAGGTTGAATTACTGTACTCTGTTCACAGTATAGTGAAGTTACTCACGATGGATGGAGTAGCCAGAAATTTTACTCAAGAAAGTGTAGTGATACTTTACTCATATTTTACTCAAGTAAAAGTAAAAAGTACAATGGTGTAAAACTACTTCAGTTCAGTTCAGTTTATTTATATAGCATCAATTCACAACACATGTCATCTCAAGGCACTTTACAGTTCACCAGATCATATAGTCAAGTTGATTCAGGGTTTTCTATCTAAGGAAAACCAGTTGATTGCATCGACTCATTGACTCGAATGCTATTCCTCACACTAAGCATGCTTGTAGCGACAGTGGAGAGGAAAAACTCCCTTTTAACAGGAAGAAACCCCCAACAGAACCCCGTTCAGTGTGAGCGGCCATCTGCCGAGGCCGACTGGGGTTCAAGGAGACAGATGACAGACGAGCTCCGAGCCAGCTCCCATGTCAGAGGATGAAGAGAGCACATCCAGCCAGTCACAGTCAGAGAAACAGGACTACATTGGAAAGCAGGCCGATCTCCAACATCTATAAACAAGGGTGTTGATGGCAGCAGCACAGCTGATATTTCTCTCCAGGATGGAGTCACAGCCAAACAGGGACAGATGAGGCAAAGCTACTAGAAAAAGCAGAGAGAGCAGAACGTTAGAGATTAAACTAACAGATTCTACAGAGCAGAGGATAAAGACAGAATGAAGCAGACTGATGAAATGGAGGTCCTTATGTCCTCCAGAAGTCTAAGCCTATAACAGCATAGCTTTAGATATAGCTCAGGATAACCTGAGCCTCTATACAGTAACTATAAGCTTTATCAAAAGGAAAGTTTTAAGCCTACCCTTAAAAGTAGACGGGGTGTTTGCCTCACGGACTAAAACTGGTAGTTGGTTCGACAGGAGGGGAGCCTGATAACGAAAAGATCTGCCTCCCATTCTATTTTTTTTTAGAACTTTTTATTTTTAAAACTTTTCACAACAAAAGAACATTCCCTGAGCCAAGAGTAATTAAATCAATAAAAGAAATACTGATGCCACATATACAATATTTCAACATAAATGCAGCACGATAAACCAGGTCTCCCATTCTATTTTTAGACATTCTAGGAACCACCAGTAAACCTGCAGATTGAGAGCGAAGTGCTCTGTTAGGAACATAAGGAACAATCAGATCTCTGATATAAGATGGAGCTTGGCCATTTAAGGCTTTATATGTGAGAAGGAGGATTTTAAATTCTATTCTTGATTTAACAGGAAGCCAATGAAGAGAAGCCAGGATAGGAGAGATATGATCTCTCTTTTTAATTTTCATCAGAACTCTGGCTGCAGCATTTTGGATCAGCTGAAGGCCTTTAACTACAGTTTGTGGACTTCCTGAAAGTAAAGAATTACAATAGTCCAGCCTTGACGTAACAAATGCAGGGACTAGTTTCTCAGCATCACCCCTGGGCAGGAGATTTCTAATTTTTTGCAATATTCTGATATGAGATGAAAGAAGAAAATTCTAGAAACATATTTGATATGGGATTTAAATGACAGGTCCTGATTAAAAACAACACCAAGATTTTTTTTACTTTATTATCTGAAATCAGTTTAATCCTATCCAAATGAAGTGACTGACTAATCAGCTGATTTTTCAAAGACCCTGGTCCAAAGACTATAAGAAGGATAAAGTTAAGAGTCATCCAGGTTTTTATGTCTTCAAGAAATGCCTGTAATCTATGTAATGGGTTAGCTTAATCTGGATTTATAGACAGATATAGCTGGGTATCATCAGCATAACAGTGGGAATTAATCCCATGATGTCTAATAACTCTACCAATTGGGAGCATACACCTGTATTTAAGTGAAAGAGAAATGGTTCTAGCACTGATCCCACTTACTTAAACTTTTTAAAAGGTAACTGAAGAAAATATAACTAAGTGTGACTAGTTATTACCCATGTCTGTATAGAAAAACGTTTCTCACCAGGTTCACAAATAAAAAAAAGGAATATTGTATTTTCTAAGGTTATTATTGTCTGATATAAATATTTGTTTAAGTACCTGAAGTAGTTACTCTCAAGATACACATTATAAGTAATACCACATATTCATAAATGTGTCTAATCATCTCTTCATTAACTTTATTAATATGTCCTCCTAAACTACTAATCTAGTGTGATTTAAAACCACGAAACATGACTTTTTTTTGCATTCTGTCTTTAGGTATGCCTACTCCCATCCAGTTCCCCACTGAGGTTACCTACCAAGGTGGTCAGAGCTTTCCTGAGGAAATGGAACTGCCTGTTGCACAGACTATCCCTTTGGTGTCTCCTCCCAGCTTAAAGGATGTCCAGCAGGCGATGCAGGACGCCTCAGAGCAAGTGAAGGGTCGTGGGGCAGAAGAAGCATTAAAGGAACTGCTTGAGAGGGTCGTGGAGGCAGCTTTGGCCCATGTAGAGGCAGGTGGTCAAGCAAAAGACATGGCTATGGAGAAGAAAACGCTAGAAGAGGATCCTCTGGTGGTTGAAATGGAAGATGGTGAAGCTGGAGTAGAAGCTGAGACACCGGAGCTTCCCTTGGAGGAGAGAAAAGTTAATGGTTTTGAAGAGACTGGAGGAGACAAGAGGATGGAGCCTCAGAGGAGACAGAAGGGGATTTAGAAGCAGGGAGGGAGGACAGCGAGAAGCAGGTTGTGTTGATATTTCTAAAGAATGCCACTGAAAGAGAAACACAGGATGGAAAGGAAACACCAGATACTGTGGAGGTGGCAGTGGGCGCACAGCCAGAGCAGGAAACAGAGGAACAGTCTAAAGCTGGCCATAGAGTGGCTGGTAAAGAGCAGGCAGAGAATAGCAGGAGAAAGGAAGCAGTTTTGCATGAAAAAAGTCAAACAACCCAAACTGATTTAGAGAAAACATTACCTCATCTTAATGACCATGGTTTACTAATAAAACCTATCATAGGTGATGTGATAAAAGAAGAGGGGGAGCTCAGAAGGGGGGAGAATGGAGCAGAGAAAGCTGATATAAATGGTTTAGCAGAAATAGAACAGAACCAAAAGAAGGAGGCAGAAAGTACTGATTTAAGGGAAGCAACATTAGAAGAAAAATATGGTGAAACTTTAAGTGAGGAGAGATCAAAGGCACTGTTGGTTGAAGAGGGTGACAATACCGGAGAAGCAGATATGGAGGACAACACAAAGGATCAAGGTGAGATCTATATAGCTGCAATGAAAAAAGGTTTAAATATGTGGTAAAATGATATAGCCCTGTGGAATTAAAACCTAAAACAAGTAACAAGAAATGTAAAATATTTTTAGAGATACTCTAGAAACATCACGTAAACTTAAAATCTGATATATTTACTTTCTTTTAAGTTTAACTTAACTAAAAATAAATATATAAAATGCATCCAATTAATGTGATTTGTTCTTACTCAATCCACATCATGTACTGTTTTATTTCTGCTTTTAAAACTAGAACAAAAAGGATCATTAGATTTTAGAAAAAGCTTTACTAATAACAGTGTGAAAGGTGTGTTTTTGTTTATTTCTATTGGCAGGATCTTATAGTAGCTGCATCTTAAATATATTCTTCCAGGATTGTCTTAAACTTTTTCCATCAACTCTGAGTAGCTTACTGGCTCAATCCGAACACATCAAAGCTTAACCCCTATAAGTTTCACGAGCTATCCCAGTTTATTCTCCTCTCCAAGCTCTTTCGGCTTCTCATTTGTTGAATAAGGTCACCATTTACAATGGATGGCTCTAAAATGGGTTCTCTCGTATTTATTTATCATAAAAGACTGTTGCTTATCAATTCCTCACCCTGCTTTGATACTGTACTGCAATGATAATATGAAAAAATGGTGGTGGATGGGAATGCCATGAAAAACCTGAAAAGCTCAGCCATTTATCAATACTTACATAGCGACAGGGCAAACTACCTGCTGATACACAAACCCTGCAATTTGGTGTGTGTGAAGGAAGGAACGGAATCATGCCAATGTCTACATAAATCTAGCCATAGCACTGGTGCGGATGTCAAAGATGATGGAGAGATGGAGACAGTTGGTTGGCCTTTCCCCTTATCATTCTTGTAGACACACACACACTAAAACACACCAAAAAGAGCATATACGAAGCCAAAATTAAGCCAAAAAGGAAACACGTGTAATAAATTATAATACAAGCAGTTTTACTTGAAACATACACATGTAAACCCCTCTCCATGCACATTTTGAATGTTTTATATTTCAATTCCAAACCATGAGGCCTTCAAAATATTATACGCGTGAGTGGATGCTCCTTCACTGGACTCGTAGCTTGCTTTCAACGCACAATTAGAATCTGTCATACCCAAGAGTGGATCTGTTTCTGTGCGCTGTTTTAAGATAACGGAAAGTTTTTTACTTTTAAACTTCAATATACCTGTATGGCCTTTTACTAATTTAGTGCACCATTAAAAAAAAAAAAAAAGTTCTGATGTTGAGAGGACTGTGGAAACCAGCGGCCCTGCATGGCTGACCGCAGGCAGGGCTAACATTAACCCCTTTGCAGCAGCCCGCATTCAGCATAATTGTGTGTGAAGTACGGATAAATCTGATATCGTTTTTTTTTTTTTTTTGGCAAAACCTTTCTTTGTGTTTTTATGACTTTCATGATCATTATACCCCAACTAAAGGAAACACATATTTTATTATTAACTAGAGACTGTTAATAACAGGAGGTCCAGACAAGTCTTCTTGTGTGTGGTGATGTCATGAGTATGCTTCTGTTCCAGTTGACACAGATTTTTTCTTTGTGCTCCCATTCTTCCCAAGCCCATACGTCCTAAATTCTTGTCAAGAACATACTTGGCCAGAAAACAAGTCCATACTAGCATTCTTGTGAATTGATAAATGGCCAATGGCTTGATTAATGACTTGTTTATGGCCAAACGCATACATTTACATATACAATCAGTTTGCATCTACTCTTAAGATTTTTTTCCTATATTATTTATTATCTTTCTATATTTTTTCTTTCCAGCAGGTGGTTTGATGTGCACATCAAGCTCCAAAAAATTACACAGTTCTGGAGCAATTGGCTCAAATGGTTCATTGCCTCATTAGGCCTCATCTCACTATCACTAGAAACTGTTACCAGTCACAACAAGGAAGAAAACTGTATCATACATGTATAAGAGGCAGGATTCATGAAAGGTAGCCAATTCCAGGCAATAACAGTATGCTTTCTGTAGGCAAATGTTGCCATGAACATGCATGAACAGATCCACATTGGAGAAGGAGAGAATCTACAGGTAAATTAAAAACAAACCATTAGCGCAAAGAAGGAGCATGCACTAATGCTTGTATTACATCGGGGGCCTAATGTTATTGAGTTCATAATGCACATGAAGATCAGTTTTGTGTTTGTGCATTTTTAATTAAAGTGCTTGTATGATTATGTATCATATGTGTTCCTTTTTTGGCAGAATTCTGACTTCATAGGAGTATGCATACCCGCATTTCAAAGGTCAACTTGGACTGCAGATACCTTGTCACATGACTCAGAGATGTTAGCCAACAAAACTGATTAAGCTCACTATGAGCATGTCTTAGCTTTGAAGTGAGCGGCTCTTGTTAATTTCCTCATTCTGTAATACCCTGCTACTCTCATACTCACAGGGTCCTCGGAAGAACCCTGCTACTCAAGTATGGCACTTGTGGGAAGCTACAGTTTTTACTTCATTTTACATGGGGTTGGGTGCAGCTCATGCCGGTAGAGATAACTTCACTTTTTAAACACTTTATTTAAACCAATACAGAATTTCTATCTCTAACAAAGATTGCAAACCATTACATCTCCAACTCCCTCTCCCCACATGCCACTGTGTGCTTGTTGCAAAATGCCTCCAAAAGATCTCAACCAAAAACGAACAATAACAGGGGCTGTCCAAGTTCTGGCTGTGAATCTTGTTGGTGTCAACAAGTTGGTATCAATAAGAACTCTTTCATGGTTAGGAAAGAAGATCAGGTCTGCTGTAAGATCTGGGATGACAACATTTTGAAAAAAGAGCCTGAAATATAGCTAAAAGGATCACTTCAATACATAAAAGGGTAGATTTGCAAAGGTCAAACAGGGTACAAGCTAAACAATAAAGAATTTTTATTGTTTTTCTCAGGTGGGCTGTACCTATATTTTCTGTCAGGCAAAGGATTGTGGGTTTCCATTCATCTCCTTTGCTCAATTTAACAACCTGTGAGCTCTTTATGATAAAAGAACTGCAATGGGAAGCATATAGGCTCCTTTTCCTTCCTTCCATCTTACCACCAGCACTATGTGGACAGCGTTTATCGTAGAGAGATGATGCATCCACCTAGGCAAATTAGTCCTTATCAATTTGAATAATTTAGATTGATCCTCCATCTCTTCTCAAAAAAAGGATCCCTAAAGAACATTAATGCCTATATCATGTTTTACAATGTAAGTTCAGGCTGTTATGCAGGGCAAATTTTCTTTTATGCATATTTGCCATTTTCTTGCTATCTCCTTTAAAGATGAGCTTTCTTTTCAGCTGATAGTTGTCTTGTTAACAATGTCTACCTCCAATGTTGTCAACCTCTACAGACCCTCTAACATAAGCTTTGGTTTTCTTTGCTGCTTCTCCAAATAATAGTATCCTAACCTATTTTTGTTTTTAGTTTAGATTGACAGCTTCAGCCTAGTAATAGACGATCAGATATTTTTTTTATTACATGACACTGCTTTTAACTTTCTTTCTGACCTAGTCTGCTGCCCTTGGTCTTTGGGAATCAATGCTTTTGAAACTCAAACCACTGAGGCTCTCACATTAAATCTACATTTGTACTGATATCGTTGCAAGACTACAAGAGTAAAAAAGACCTTTTGGCCTAAATCTAGGCCTTTGTATCTTTATCATTATGAACTACTCTGTGTTGAGCTACAGCATAAAATTCTGGGGTTGTAACAAGGTAAAATCTAATAAAAACTTTTACAAGAAACTGGAGATCGATAAACCTTCCATTCATTAAACCTTTGCCTTTTGGCTTAAAGTTGCATTTATAAATACCTCATCTCTCTTTTAGCAGTACCGCTGATCCCTGGTCTACCTTCTGATTTCAGAGAAAAGACCTGAAAACCTGCTTCCTACCATAAATCCATCATTGGGAGGTGCAACTCAAGACAGTACAATTGTCGGTGCAAACTCTAACCATTGCAGTAAGACAGCTATAACAAATTCTGGAATTTTACCAGAAAACCATGGGGAGATCCAACCCACGGTAGATCATTTCGTTAATACTGCTTTTGCTGAATACCATCAAACAAAAGGAGGGAATGCAACAGGAACCATAAACGTAATGGAAGATATTTCTAGAACAAAAGGTAAAACATCACTCATGATGTGTAAACATGCTACACTTAATAGCATTACTTGTTGATGTTAATGTAGCCATAACAAATATTAGGCAACGAGATGTTGGAAGATATACTGTATTTAACAAAGAGATTTTTGTGCTTAGGTTTTCAACTTTCAACTTTAATAGATGTACTTTTTTGTTTGCACATGCAAGCCAGTAGAAAGTAGAAAGGTACTTTTACTTAGGGAAATTTATAATGTTAAAATACGATTCAGAGTTTCTCGCTGTTATCTGTGTTTGTAGGATTATAATATAGAGCTATAATAGAGGAGAAATTATGGGCTATTCAATTTTGTTTTTAAAAGCCATTTTTTCAATCAATTAAATGTATTTTTTCTTTTTTTTTTTCCTGCTGTCCTTTGGTGGCCATGATACATTTGTTTAGTGAACAATGAGCACAGCATTCAGGCATGGAAGATCGGGGCTATTTTTACTGCTGTCGTCTTGGTTTTGGAGACTGTTTTCTTCATTATCTATGTCGTCAAATGTCGAAATAAGGAAAGGTAAGTGGTGGAGTTGAGTTGCATTAGGTAATGCGTAAACATGAAAAATGTCAGCAGAGAAAAGCCAATATAGGGTATAACCAATAAACTGTAGGGAAATGCCTGAGTGTATGAACACTTACTGCCAGTTTAGATGAAATGTCCAAAAAACAAACCTTGAGCTTATTGTAGTTAAGTTTTAATCATGAAACGTATTAAATTTACACACTTCTTTTATTCCTTGACACCGCCTTGTAAAGAATTTTTCATTCCAGGGAGATTTTAAGAAATGACACCAAAGGATTTCCACTCGATGTTTCATCACTTGGTTCTTAGAAGCTCTACGAAGCAAGAGGTCAGGCGGTGTTTGAAAGAATGTGTTTAAAAAGCAGTTTATCATATTCAGCTTCTATCTAACAGGTTTTGTATTCAAAACCTAACCTCCTAATTTTATTTTAGCACCACCATTGAAAACATCCTAAAGTAATTTTTGAATGAAAAATTCTGTTTTTTTGTTTCTATAGTCAGATGCAGGTGCATTTCCTAAAAAATAGCCACACGGTGGACTCCTCTCATCCGATTGCTTTTGAGCTTGACTAGCCCTCATAATAGACAAAACTAGCTAAAGAGAAATTTGCATATATCTGATTTATTCTGATTCCTTCCTTTACACTCACAGTAAAAAGAGTAAGGATTATGAATTGACTTAATACAGTGTTTGTACATGTAGGCTCTTACATTGCATATTTGATATTATTTTATTTTCTTGCCTTGTAGATATAGTAAATAGCATCTGGTTGTTTTTACTGTATGTAGTTATTTATTCTTTTGTTTGCTTCTACTATGCCCGTGAGGTTCTCATATTTTTGATATTTTTTTATCAGGAATTACTTGTTAGCAACGATAGCTTCTGTGAATGATTACAAGAAAATCTAGATCCTTGCAGTTACTCTGTTGTTCCAAAGGCTTGATTTCCAAAACCTTAACAGATACTTACACAAATGTATTTATTTTTTTATTTTATTTTTTTTAAAACCTCTTATTGACAAAAGTAAGATGTTATGGGAAAACTGTTTCCCTCTAAAATTATTTTGTTTTGCTTTCTCTAAAATGATTTTTAAAAGCTAATTCATACGTACAACAGTTATCTTTGAGTTATCTTTATAAAATAAAAACATTCACTCAAACCTGGTAGCATTTATTCAGTATTCCATGTGCAAAACAACTATTTGATTTTTTAGTTTCTTACCAGTTTCTAGCCAATTAGAGCTAAGTCCCCCTTAAAGTTCTACAGTCGTTAGCAACTACAATGACATCAAAAAGCATAACAAAGCAACCGATTCATCAAAAAGCTTCAAACATGGCCAGATCAAATTTTCTTTGGTCAGAGACAGAGTCCCTCAATACGTCTCTCAAAGTTGAAGTATTTGGTTGGATCAAATGATAGGTACTTTTCTCTTTTAAGAAGATTTTTAACATAAATGTAGGCTAATCTTTGCTTTATTGGAGTCTAAATGTGCCTTTGTAAATGCATCCAAACCTCTAGCCAAGGTACTTCTCATATTTTGTCAGGCAGTTCAAGGTTTTAGAAATGTAGAGCAGCATACTACATACCTTAAACCACATATCCCCTACAGTTCTAATTGCTGAAGGGATGTACCAGGTCGTCATTTTACAGATAAAAAAAACAAAACAATGCCTGATGTATATTTTTTATTTAAGAGTGAGAATACTAATTACACATTCACATTACCCCAAATACATTACAGCACTACGGTACTTTTCTTAAGCCTGAACCAAACCAGCTGATTATTAGCTGTAGCACCAACAGATTCACAGTCACAGATGGGACTCGCAGCAGTTCTGGTACATGATTGCTTCTGATGTTGCCCAAGCTGCAGTTAACATTTCAACACTGACAGATGATGAAATGTGCTTTGTATTGGCTCTCTGTCCCCCTCTGTGTTCACAAAAATATTTCTTGTTATCTTTATTAAGATACTTCATTGCTTTCCAACCACTTCTCCAAATGGTTCACAGCAATGCCTTGTGTATTTTTGAAAGGATAACAGGGAGTGACTAACAGTGAAAAAAGGAACATTGTTCTTGTGTTTCTATGTGAGCAGCCCTCTAGCCATGCAGCAGGCAGGTGTCAAAGGGTGTGTTGATCCTGAGGCAGGAATGGGAGGTAACTGCAGTGAGGACACTCCATCAGCAGACAACGGAAAGTGTCTAGAGTATGTACCCTTATAAAAATATATTTCTACTGGTGGAAAATGATCTATCTATCTATCTATCTATCTATCTATCTGTCTGTCTGTCTGTCTGTCTGTCTGTCTGTCTGTCTGTCTGTGTACAGATAAAAAAAAAAAATGGTGAGATTACTGTCCCCTGTTCCGCTACAAGACTGGAGGTGAGTCCTGGTTAGACTTAGGTTGAAGGAGAATCCCACAGAGCTCCTGTCATTAGCACTCTAGGCCCCTCACCATCTGGACCTGGTGCCTTATTGCGATTCAGTGACTCCAGCTGCCTTGTCTTCACCATATCTGTATTTATCTTAACACGTGATTAAAAAAAATAAAATAAAATACCTTGCAAGCAAGATAAATTCTTGCAAGATTTGTAAAATCACAGATGGAAACAAAACAAACATGACTGTGCCTGTTTCCACTGGAAAAGTCTCTTTTTCTTTTTGAAAAATGAAAAGGGAAATGATTTTAAATCATACCTCCCACCCCTCGAAATGATACCTCCCATTCCTGCAGTGCTGCAGAGTGCAAAAGTATAGCTTATTCCCCTTCACAGGTTGATGATTTTGTTGATGGGGTTGCTAGTTCTCTGCGTACTGCCTTAGACAACGCAGCTCCTTTGAAAATGAAAACCGTTAAAAATAGAAAGCTTGCTCCTTGGTTTAATGCAGAGCTGCGTACTTTGAAGCAAAATGCTAGGAAACTGGAGAGAAAATATATAATATTTCTGAATTAGCAAAATTATTGTCTTCATCTAGGCCTTCAACTTGTATGTTAGATCCAGTTCCAACCAGGTTATTTTAGTTATCAGGCTCCTCTCCTGTGGAACCAACTACCAGTTTTAGTCCGTGAGGCAGACACCCTGTCTACTTTTAAGGCTAGGCTTAAAACTTTCCTTTTTGATAAAGCTTATAGTTAGGGTGGCTCAGGTTATCCTGAGCTATCTCTATAGTTATGCTGCTATAGGCTTAGACTTTTGGAGGACATAGGGACCCCCATTTCATCATTCTGCTTCATTCTCTCTCTGTTCTCCTATTCTGCAGAATCTGTTAGTTCAATCTCTAACCTTCTGCTCTCTCTGCTTTTCCTCAGAGTAGCTTTGCCTCGTCTGTTCCTGTTTGGCTGTGACGTCATCCTGGAAAGAAACATCAGCTGTGCTGCTTCCATCAACACCCTTGTTTATAGATGTTGGAGATCGGCCGGTTTTCCAGTGTGGTCCTGTTTCTCTGACCGTGACTGAGTGGATGTGCTCTCTTCGTCCTCTGGCATGGGAGCTGCCTTGGAGCTCGTCTGCCTGGCTGTGTGTTTCCTGGACGGGGCCGCCTTTTACAGCTGCTTCTTGTGTCTCTGCTTCTGTCTCCTTGAACCCCAGTCGGCCTCGGCAGATGGCCGCTCACACTGAGCCTGGTTCTGCTGGAGGTTTCTTCCTGTTAAAAGGGAGTTTTTCCTCTCCACTGTCGCTACAAGCATGCTTAGTGTGGGGGATTGTATTTGAGTCAATGAGTCAATGCAATCAACTGGTTTTCCTTAGATAGAAAACTTTGTATCAATTTGACTGTATGATCTGGTTGAACTGTAAAGTGCCTTGAGATGACATGTGTTGTGAATTTGGCGCTACATAAATAAACTGAATTGAATTGAATTGAATTATAACATTGCAAAATTGGAGCATGACTCGGACTGTGTGTATAATTTTAGAATAAAAGTATATTGGTCTTAACCTAAATATTAGAAGCTGAGATAGTGCTCAACCAGGGAATCCTATAAATGAAGTCTGGACCTCATTAAAAGAAGCAAAAGTTTTTTTTTTAATATATTTAACCTGTAGAGGTTTTTCTCAGTGATGGCTTTATTAAGATCTGAACATATTAGTCCATCACAGCAATTACCAGTCACACAGACCAACACTGTCAGGGTTGGTGGATGTTGTTGTGTAACCAAATGCAGAGTAGAGGGGGCAGACATAGTTCTTGCACTTTTAATGGTGAAGTAGATGGTACAAAACATAAATTCAGAAATAACAGGCTGGGAACATAAAAGCAAAAACTAGAGAAGCTCGGGAGAAACATGCAAGAAGAAATGAAGAGAATCCACCGCTGAGGAACTGCAGAGGAGGAGTATATATGGGAGACAGTACAAAGAGTGGAGTAATCAGTTATTTGGGAGCAGGTGTGGACAGAAGCAACTAGAAAGGAGCTAAAGGGAATGGAAAGGAGCGCTGGGGGGGCAACAAAGAGGAACCAGGGAAAACATGGTTTAACTAACTAGAAATTAACTTAAATGAGGCTAAAGTGGAATAAAACTAATGAATACAAAATAAGAAATATCCTTTACTTTCACAAGTGGAGCAGTACGGCTATCAACATAGGGTTCCGCTTGTGTTATGCATATAAATTGCTTTATAATAATTATGCAGGGAGCTTTACAGATTATATCGACACTGCACTGTAGGTAGAACAGGAAAGGAAAAACAGAAAAAAAGGAGAAAAGATTAAAGAAAGAGGAGATAAAAGGGAGATAATGATAAAACATTTTCAGTCTGATACATCACCTGCGTAGAGATGTAAAAAGAACAGTACAACCAACAGACATGGTACAAGACATACAATAAAGTAACACCTAGATAAGTACTATTATTTAATCTGACATGTATTCTGTGTTACCGGAAGATAATGGGCTTTCTGTATGGAAGTGAAAACATAATCTAAGACAAAGAATAACAAACTAAATCTAGACCAAGGAATAAATAATAGCAAAAATGTTGAAAAAAGATAACACAAATTCAAAAATTATATAAATCTTGACAATACAGAATAACATAGAACAAAGGATAAATGAGAACCCAAAATGAGAACTTACACAGAACCAAAAAAGTCAAGAATGGCAGACAATGACAAACGCTCAATATATTACAATCAAACTTTTGATGAGCTATTTTTTGTTTGTTTGAATGTATTTATATTTCCATATTTAACAAGTAAAAATGGCATACACATACATACAATGGCATACATAAACTGTTTATGGCCGATTTGAGGGGAAGCCAGAGAAGTAAAGCAAAGCTACTTACATACATGCTAGCCTGGGAAATGCACCAAAGACTGCTATAGGAAGTTAAAAAATAAAATAAGGGAAATACATAGGCTTTATTATGTTAGATTTTTTAAGCAATAGGTAGATAAATGTTATGAATAATGTATATTTCTTCTCTAAATTCTGCTTATAGCCCCCTGATAAATCCTTCCTTTTGTAAAGTCTTCTAGGTTGCTTTCTTTGATATGTATACTTGGTTTAAAAAGAAAAAAAATCTTCAGAACTTTTGCTCTTTTTTTTTTCCTTTTTTTTGCTTTTTTTTACTATCATTTTTCAATTTTTTTTAGGTCAGACCACCATCTGGGGCTAGGTGGTCAGATAATGATTAGCCTGCTTAGTAAGACATATGGTAATGAAATCAGTTTAACTCAATTTCCAGCAACTATCAACTTGAGTTTAGTAAAGAATATGCTTAGTGCAGTTTGCAAAAGGTGATTTTATAATTGAGTAATTGCTTATGCTGCAATATTTCATGCATTTCAGTGCATGTTTCCTTTACTTTGTAGTAGCAGATTTGCAGTAGGAATGGTGTGTGACAGTTGTAGCAAGGCGACAGCATATTTTTTTCACCATGTCAAAAGATATGTGACAACTGATGTGTAGAGTACAGTGTTATGTGCAGTAATGATATAAATGATTAATTGGATGCCATACCATATTAATAAAAGCAAACATTTTCAACTCTGTAATGTGTATATTAGAACCCCTGTGACTGTAATCTTCTAACGGAAAAAAAATTGTCAATATTTCGACAGTTCCTGCTTTATGTCTTTGCCTTCATTATACTGTATTTGGTATTTAGCAGAGAATTAAGAGTCAGTGTTACGCTCACCTGAAACAGTTATCCCTGACGTTGACTGATGCATAGCCCTCAGGCAGCCCAGCTGAATTTACAATGTAGTTGCTCCACAATAGGCAGGATGTAAAAGCGAACACTGCTCTATTAAATTAATGCAAATAAGCTGTGCAGACAGTACAAAAATCCAGCTCAAATTTTTTTTTATCTTAGACACAGAACATTACATAATCTAAAACAAATCAAGCCAAATAACAGAGCCTTTATTGTTCGTTGTAATTTCTGTAATGGGTCTAAAGCTGGTGCTCAAGCATTGTTAATGTCCAGCTGTTTTGTTATTTACCAGGTTTAACTGGAAGCACTCTGACTAATTCTGTTTTATTATGAATATTTTTCATAACTTCTGAGTTTCTTTAGCAAATATAGAATTTCTACTAACATGCTGCACCTATCTGAAATTGGAATGGAGGTCGTTGTTATGAGGTAGTTAAGTGGTGCATGTATATAATCTATTCCTCCAATTCTAAAATGAACTTTCCAAGGACAGCCTCACCTGCAAACAGTCCATTATGTCAGGAGATTTATTTATATATAGATGTCATTACCCCTCAGTGTGTCTCATTTGAGTTGTGTCTCCATCTGCTACACGAGCCATTAAGTCAACAGACTTAAGGCAATATTAGCATTTGCTCTCGATTCAACAGCAGTTGAACAACCTTTACAAATAGAAAAAAAAAACACAGATTTAAATTTTCTTCAGTTGTTGCAGTCACCTTAAAATACTGTTACAAAAAAGTCGATCTTCGCTTTTACCTAACATAAAATTGACAGGCTATTTATATTTCTTATGTAACTTCTTGTCTTCTAATAGATGTAATGTACTCTCAGTAAGCTGCTTTTGCAATCAGGTTCTTTATTTTTTTTTAATCTTTAAAAAAATCTATAAGAAAAGCATTTCTTTTTAACCTTTCACTCTCTGCCAACTCTTCTTTCTGCTAGGATGGCCCGACTGGACCCGTGTGGTGTGGCTACAACCTTGGCCAGGAAAAGGGAAAAGCAAGAAGATGAACATGAAGTAACCGTATCAAACCAATTACCAAGCTCTGAAGAGATGCTGCCCAGTCCAGAATCAGGACAAGACTTTCCAACTCCGATATAATATTCTTTTTTTTCTTTTGCTAAATAAAACTCAAAATGTAACATCTTTGTTATTATCCAAGCGATTGGATTTCAAGATGCAATTCTCCACCTCTTACAAAAACTACACTGATTGCATTTGACTGTGTTTAAAAATAAACTTAGGCTATTTTGATTAGTTCTGTGTCAGATATAAAACAATTCAGGTTTTGAAAGATTTAACAAAACAGAGAGCTGCCTTTCACTCAATCCAGAATGCTGGGTTTGGTTTTAAAGCCAAAAAATATTGATTAATGCAGCTCAGCAATTTTTATGATTGCAACGTTTCACAGGGATAAGTGTAAGAAATGTATTTTCTGTAATAATACTTTTAAATGATAAAACAATTGAATTTAGACAACAAAACATATGCATGGAATATTAAAGCTGAAGTAACCCATTTAAATGTATGAAAATATGTTTTCATTAAAACAATCAAATTAAATTGAAATAACCATTAAATTGACCATCTTCCTTTCTCATCATGTGGGAGATTTTCCATTAAGTCTTAACATTTCTAGGTGTACAGTATTTCAGATCTTCTGCCTTTCAAGAGTGTTGATGTCTCTTATTTTCTCCTCTCTAACCCAACTATGTCACTGTTTGCCAGCAAACAACTAATCAAAACTAACAAAAATCTTTTCTAACAACTTAAATCATGGCTTAAAAAATAATCCAGTATTATATTTATGCTTGCTGTTGATAAATATGTCTGTGTGTGCAAACTTGAAAGTCGAGATACTGTAACAATTTTGGGTGAAGATGGAAACAAATATGTTTTGTAGGTGCTACAACCTGTAATCAATCTCACTTGGACATTTGAACATGGAATAGAATTGTAACTTAAGTTTACAGTAAGTAGATTTTCTCTAAATTAAAAAAAAAGTAATTTAAATTTTTCTCATACTGAAATGGTAAATGCTGTTGCAACAACATAAAAAGGTTAACCAAATTAACCATCCATCCGTCCTAGACAGGTTGCTACTCTGTTACAGTATATTCTGTTCTGTATTATCAAAACAACCCCTTTTTATGTTTGTTCGCCTCCTGGCCTCCCTTTTTGGATCAGGCTGGATTTTGTACTCTTACACCACCAAGAATACCTTCCAGTCATCTGTCTATCTCAACTCATACAAAGTAACTGTTTACTGATAGAAAAAAATCTTTTTTTTTTTTTTTTGTGTGTGTGTACAGCTTTGGTATGAGCACACACCAAATGGCATCAATTGAGCTATGGTCACAAGGGCTGTAAATAAACATTTGAAATAAACATTTTTACTGAGCAAGTAAACTCAAGTTTTATGTTAATCCTGCTTTTATCGGGACTGTGGTCGTGCACATGTGTGAGCAGGCTGGCACCAGCTGTAGAAAGGTCAAATAGCTATTTAAGACAATCGAGAGAAATGGGCTAAATGGAGCTCGCGGAGTCTCAGCATTCACAAATGTGATGCACACATGCACAAGACAATCCACACATTCACACTAGAATTCATACATGCACACCAGAATTCATACATGCATAGGAAAAGATCAACAAATGTACAGTATGGGAACCACACATGCAAAGGATAATATCCACACTTAAACAGAATGATCCACACATACAAAGGTTAAAATCAATACATGCACAAGATACTGTATATGCCACTGCAAAATCATTAGTCGCTTCATTCATTCCTAAGCCACTAGCTTCAAAAGACAAGCAAATCCAACTACAAACAGAACGATGGAGGAAATCATCTCTCACGAGCCACTGTTGAAAGCGGTTCTGAGCTTGTTAGTTTGGAGAGCTAATGGGATGGTGAATTATGAATAACGACTTGCACTGCCTGCTGGGTTGTCTAAGAGATAAAGGTTCTGTGATAATTCTAAAGTCAACTGGCTTAAAGAAAAGAATGTATACCCACTCTGTTGATCTTGATAATAAGTGGAATGTGTGGAAGTTTAGTTGAATTGTATTTTTTGTTTTACTTTGGATATGTTGTAAAGGTAAAAAACTCTTACATATGTATAGGTATAAAGTAAAACAACTTTAATAGTTTAATAACCTAATGACTAACCTAAACCTTGCTTTTAAATATTTTTCAAATTGTATTGGACGTGTTACCATGTGGACTGTGGGTCCCCTCTTGGTGATCAACAGTCTGGCTCAGTTTCCCTGAGAGTGCATCACTTCTTAGGGATTGCAGAGTGGCCAGTGCTGTCCATCCCCTACAGCCATGGTGGGGGATGAGTGTGGTTCCAACACAGGAAGAGGGCAGTGTGTAACAATTATGGCTGACAGCCGGTGCCAAGGGCCCCAGTATCCATATCCAAGTCGTGATGACAGAGTCAGGTGGCCTCTCAGATTCTTCAACATCAGCTACCAGCGTAACAGTAAGTTCAGTGGTTACAACTGTGGGCAGTGCAAGCATGTCTTGGCTGGTTCAAACTGTGATCAGATGATCTGTAGTTAAGAAAATGTATCCTGTTTGGTTTTTAAAATTCAAGACAATATTGTATATCCATCCAGATGCATCCTTAGAACTTCAGAAGAGTGCTGCATTACTTCTTGTGGGCTGTGTTCTTCCATTATCTTTGGTATTAGGAGGTGTTTGGACCTGATGGTAACACCCCACAGTTTGAGAACATTACAATTTAGCACTACTTTGTGTGGAGCAACTACTACTCTGTCAGTAAGACATACCTTGGCTCAGGTCAGGCTAGCTTTGGAGGTGTGGACTTCTCATATGAAGGCCCAGGTTTTGTCACTTGGCATTGATTCTATCTATTGCTACTGGAGAGAGACATACAGGCAAGTACTGTAGGAGGAAATGAGGTGACATTTTGGGTAGATAAAGAACTATTTTGTTTGGGGGTGAAACTTGTAAATTTTAAAAAGAAAGCTGAATAACACAAAAGTGAGTTGTGAAGGGGTAAATTGATATGGAGAGCATAGTTACCTCTGCCAAGGAGTTTGTGTTTTTAAGAGAGTTTTTTGTGTGTGTGCTGTATGTCTGTCTGTATACAGGATAACCTGCAAACTTATGAACAGATTTTAATGAAATTTTTACCAGAGTTGTGCCTCATGTCAGAGGGTAATCCATTAAATTTAGATAATGATCCAGATCATGAACAGGATACAGGATTTTTTAACATTATTTACCTCCCAACCTGAGGGTGGCAGTAGTGACTATTTACAGCTTCAGCACTGGATGCAAAAAGTCATGATTCAGATGTGTGAGTTTTATCTATAGGTGGAAGTCACAATATCAGGCGAAATGTGCTGCTTGGTGGAGGTCTGCACTCTCTGAGTGCTTCTCTAGTTAGAGATAAACCAGTAAATAAAAAAATAAAAACCATATGTTAACCCCATGTCGAACATGCAGGATATGCTGGACGACCCGACATTCGCGCTGCCCTGCTGGAACTTTGACACCAAGGGTATAGAGTCTGACATATGCAACAATGAGCTGCTGGGAGCGAGGAGCACCTTGGACATGAGCTCCATCAGTGCCAACTCTGTCTTCTGTCAGTGAAGGGTCATCCTAGTCAGTGTGAAGGACTATGACGCGAACTGTCTGCAACGCTGATTGCACCACACAGACACTCGCCTCACTGCAAAAGCAAGAAGTGCTGCTGATGTATAACCTCATCTCGGCCTCTCCCAAAAAAAGAGGGCAAAAGCCTCATAAAAAGAGCATGTAGAGCATACACTGCTATAAATAATACCTCACAGCTGTTGTCCTAAATTCACTACTGCTGGCGATTAGCATCATTTGTTTGAAACTACTCTGGTTGTCAGACTTTGCCTTCTGGGTTGCCTTTCGGCACAATACATTTTGAAGCATTTACTCAATAGAGGACAAGAGAGCTTCCAGCTTTTTAACAATAGGTCACATAAATTTAGGATAGGACAAAAAAAAGAAGACGTCTGATGACCTAATATAAAAATATTATCTCTTCATCTGAGGAGGTTTGTCTCTTGCTTCTCTTTTTTCAGAATTTTCTTTATGTCCTAAAAAGTGTCACTCATCTCATTCTGTCACAAACACATAACAGGGTTACTGAAGTTAAGCATACAAGTCATCGGTGTAAGAGAGTTCATTCTTTTCCTTGGAGAGTTATGACAGGTCGGGTAATTTTCACACTAACAAGCAACAGCTCCTTAAATGGGTTTGGTTGAGATGAAGGGGGGGTGGGAAGGGGGTTGCCTCATTTGTGCATCCGGTTGCTGAAGACAGGAATCTAACAAGTCTACGGGTTCTTTCTTATCTCAGGGAATAATCTTCAAACACACACAACCCATTCATGTAGCCCCCCTGCTTATGTGTAAGAGGGAGAACACAAAGAAAGACGCAGACCTCAAGTGCAGGAGAGAAAAGAAATGAGAAAACTTCAGGTATAAAGCCCCCATGCCCCACTGCTGTATCTATTGAAATAAATTTATCTGCCATCCTGTCATGTTGAAGACTGATCTGACTGCTACACTGGGCCACATGGAGGTAAACAGTAAATTATATCCAGCTGTGCATACAAGTTTGCATAACTTAGGAAAATATATTAAAAGTTTTTGCCAGCCTTCACATATTATATAATCTATTTTTGTTTTTACTCACAGTTAGGGTTCTGGTGAAAATGTATTTGATGAAACTATCTTCAAAGAAAACACTAATTACAGCAGGAATTACCTCTGCCTGCATGGAACACAACCTGGAGTCTTTATCAATGATTATGCATTCAAAAACTGATACAAAAGAGATATATGATACATATGTTTGAAACAATTACTGAGTCCATGTATGAAAAGTTGAAAATTTTTAAAGTTTTTTATATTATCCTATATCTTTCATCTAGTTTTGCACTAATCTTCATGCATAAAAGAACAATTACATGATGAGCTGGGGGAGGTAGCAGAACTTTACAACACAAGTAACATTTAAAACAAATACTGATGGAGCCGGGCATGACAATTAGCAAGGATTGATATAGATATAATATAAAGAAAAATAATAAGTGAAAAATTAAGGACTCTTTTGAAATCAAACCAATGTCAGAGACAGCAACATTTATCCAACACTGGCAGAAACATATTGGATCCAAAAGAAACAAGTAAAAAAATCAGAAGAATCTATGGGTGTCATGGTCAAATTTTTAGAAAAATTCTGGTATGATTCTTTTCAGAATTAAATTAACAAAAATCATATTTACCTATGTGTAGCACAGTACACACTGTTTGAAGAGGCCTCAATGAGGTTTATGGTAGTTCAATGTTCCTATAAAACATGGAGGTGGATCTTACATGTTTTTGACGTGTTTGAGATTTTGTAAAGACACAAAGAGCTGAAAAGCAAGGCATGGAATATCAGGGTTAAAAAAATATAAGATTAAATATTGATTAAATTCATCTACTGACAATCACATGGCTTAGAACAATTTTGGACATCTCAAACTTACCTTTATGAAAGAGCTGAATAATTTGCATGAATTTGAGGCTTTTTGCCAGAAAGCTTAGATAGCTTAATTGTCTTAGAAAATAAAGTACTTGAACTACAGTTACTGTAAAAGAAAACTACAAGCTGTGATATGTTCCTTTGCAGAAGTCATTTTGATAGTGAATAAAAAAATGCCATAGATAAATTTATAACAAGGTTTATAAACTTGACACAAACTGTAATAAAGTGTTTTTTTTTTTTTTATTATTCTGGTCTTTAAAAATCATCAGAAAATTTGCCAGTAAATAAAACTTTTAAGCCCAACTATGCAATCAGTACTTTTGTTTTGCTGAAATCAAGCAAACCTGTATTTTGTCCTTATCGCCAAGGTACAGAGAGCAGTCCAATTAGAAGGAACCTTGCGGGTTATGTGGCACGACCCATGGTGCAGAAGTTGCCAGAGCCCCAGGATGTGCTGAACTATCTGGAACTGAACACCTTTGACACTCCCCTTTACTACTTCACCTCTTCTAAGAGCTTCGCGAACAGCATTGAAGGTGTCCAGCTGCTGGCTATCATTTTCAACTACAGCACTGTTTGGCTTTGATGTAATCCCATTAATCGGTATAACAAACTACAATTCAGTTGCACAGAAGATAAAGCTTCTGAAGTTTGAGTGTGAAAGTGTAGAGATGAAAATTTGAGCCAGAAATTCTTTCTCCCTTAG